AACTCAATGGTGTTGGTTATAAGACTATCAGGTACGGCTTAGGTCACTTTCTGGTGGAGGTCAGGTCAAGGTCAGGTCAAAAAAGGTCAAATTTCAAAGTTGATATTTTTGCATAAAATGGGTATTGATTCGATGCAACTCGTCACGGGGAGTCTAATGGTGGTTTTTGTTTTGCGCTACGAGGTCTAGAATTGCTAAAAATTGAGTTTGAAAATTTGACGTCATCAATTTTGAACAGTTTTTTCGCTGTAACTTGGCCAAAAAAAGAGATATCGATCTCAAATTTGGTATGTAGATAGAAGGTGGTAAGGACTATCACATATATTCCGGTTTTTTCGAAATTCAAAAAACTTTTTGGATTTTTCGGCTATTATAACCAAAATATCTATTTTTTGATTTTTGGGGGTCAAAATCCAAAAATTTTAAAAATCCGAGATAGCAGTTTTGTAGCCCTGTCAATTCTACAGCTTTTATGTCTTTATCGTTTTTCTGTATTTGCAAAGCTATAGGCCTGACAGCTCTTCCCGCGAAACCCTTTTTTGGGTCGAAAACGGCAGAACATGACGTCACTCTGACGTTATTTCCGGCCAACCTATCATAGCCTTTGGAAAAATTTTTGGTCACAATGTGTAAAATTGATGTCCGGGAGGGTACTGAAAGTTTGGTGACGATCGGCGCAGCGGTTCTGGAGATATATCGAAAAGTCTGGAGGGGGGGGCAAAAAATAGCCCCCCCCCCCCCACCAGGGCGCGGGTTAACAGGTTCGTCGCCGCCCCCGCGACACCCCAGGATCACTTTGAGCGTCGCCGTGCGAATGTGGCGCAGCGAAGAGCGCCGACGCTGCCGCAGTGCATCGTGTTTGTCGACCGATGTTCGGCAGCGCCTGACATGCTGTCAACCTGTTTTGTTGTCTCGTGGATGGCGCTGGTTTACAGGAGGGTGCGTGCTGTCACCATCTGACCTTTGACTTTCCCTTTAGACAGTCCCCAGAGGCACAGAAATCCCCGTTCAACAATCCAGGGCCTGTTATAGTTACGGACAGAATTAACACTATGTTAATTCCTCCAATTCAGGAAGTGGAACTAAATTAAGCGCTGGCGGGCTGAGCAAACGTAAATCCTAACCGCTTTGGTGAGGTGAAGATTAACAGCGTAATAACTGAGGTAGAGCTCATCCACGACCCGACCCTGACCCGACAAAGTACCCATAAAACTGGACATAATGCTGTCGCCGGCGGACCGGTGTCGGCTGGCCGCGAGCTGCTCTGTATTCCACCGTCCTGTGGCAACAGGTTCACGGGACGAGTTAGCGCGTTCGACCGGAAAACTGTACCGCTCCCGGGTCGGCGGTCCCGGTGGACAGGGCACCAGGTGCTCGCCGCGGCAGAGTTGGAGCCGGGAATCGGTCACGGCTGTCCGAATGGCTCCCATGGCTGCAGAGTGGAGCATTGATTTGACCACCCGGCCGCGGTGCTTGTGCAAACGCTCATGGCTAGGTCGCCAAGTTTGTGACACATAAGTTAACCGCTTTTGTAAATTGATTGAAACGTTTGTCAAATAAGCGTGCCTTTTTTTTGCATCCAGTGTGCATATTTTGAATCTATGCCTACGAAAGTATACTGGCTCGGTCTCGGAAACGATTTTGATCACCGATCAATGATCATGTTACGATTCACATCTTAAAAGAGGAGGTGGGATCACAACACACTAAACAATGGGATACATTACCTCAATTGCCACATGAGTGTGTTGCGTAGCTACCATTCATGGCATTTGGAGTGTTCTTGGTTGCGTTTAGCCGATAAGAGAGGCTAAGCCGCGCCTTTTACCATTGTAACTATGTCGATACTACACGGAAGCTGGAAACTAAGCTCTCTAATAAGCAAGCATTACTATTGGAGGAACTTGTTTTTGTTGTTAGAAATAGAGCTAATGCCGTAAGAAGTTGGCCTCATCATCGTGGTTTAACCTAGCTATCCACATGCTATCTTATCCAGCGTGTCATATCCATGACCTCCTCATAGTGTCATATGTCATTCCCTTGTGCCTAAACGGTTGTAAATGAAAACATTTAGTGGTAATATAGTTTCTTAAATGCATTTGCTTCCCTACTAACTACATTATGGAAAATTACGCAGTCGTGCATTTGTAAAAAGAAAGATACCTACACCTTGCTCCCACTCGCGTGTCAGTGGCGTGTTTGATGCTTTTACCAAGCTATCGTTAATATTCCGAAAACGTGCACAATTTCAACTTATTACCGGCAAATTATTCAATTTGGCTAAAAGTAGCCACTGGTATCCTTCCGTTTACTTCAGCAGGTAGCATTGAAGCGAAGTATCACATACTTTAGGCGGCACTCTCCCATGACACTGTCGTTTACCAGGACGTCCTAGCAGCGCCCTGGGCTGACAGTGCCATTTCTCAGGCCCACATATCGTCCGGCGCCAGCTGCGCACGGTCGCGCACGTGCCGCTGCCGCCGGCGGCGCACTGCGGCACTTCTGGCGCCGCAATGGCGATTGCGCCGCCGTCACGTAAGCCCGATGTGCCAGCAATGGCCCAATATCCGCGCCGCCGGCGGGCAATATGACAGTACTAATGAGGAACCGCCGGTGCCGGCGTCATGACCGCCTGCGGCCGGCACGGTCCTGCGGGACGGTATATCAGCCAGGCGGCGGCGGATGCCCGTGCGGGACAGCCTATGAGCCAGGCAGCGACCGACCTGCGGCGGGTCAGTCCGGAGCCGCAGGCGGCGGCCGGCCTGTCCCGCGAGACAGTGTGCAAACGACAGGTGACGGTAGCGTGGCTCAAAGTTCAGGGGTAACGCGCCGTGTCGAACACGGCTGTGGAACCGCCCGGCGGGAGCCGGCGGGCAGACAGTTGGCGCTGATGGACCGACGGAAGCCGCCGTCATTGGAAGTCAATTCGCGCACGGCCAAGGTGCTTTGATGGCGCTTTGATATGGACGGGGCTGATGGAGCTGGTTTATGGTCCGATCGGTAGGTAGCGTGACGTCCCGTGCACAGCCGGGTGGAAGACGCCCGCCGAGACTGCCAATGACGAAACCGGCCCCCCGCTGCGATCCACTCTGCACTACATCAACAACTATACAATAATATCGGTATGCTGAGTCCAGTGATCATACCAAGTGGGCAGCCGGGCCGGAACAGGGCAAATATATGAGATGGATGCTGGGAATGGCCAACACTTGCTGCTGTCACTGCTAACGCCTTTCTTACAAATGGCTACATCAATTTTGAGTTGTTTAAATGCATGCTGATAAGAAATAGAAAATCAAATGCAAAGGAGTTGCGATGATGCGCAAATTGGTTGTTATTTTATCTGTGTGATAAACATAAGGTATATGTAGCAGTTTAAGCACTTTGCCATCATGGATCATGCCACACTGATAATAACTGGCACCCACCAGCGAACTAAAAATCCTTCTCCAATCTCCGCGCTGCTTTCACTAAGCCATTACCATCGAATCCAGTCTAGTATTATCCCTTGCACTGCAGAAATTGCTCATGCTGACTGCTGCATCGGTCAATACCTGCCTACAGTCTTGTTTGATGCCAAGACAAAGCGGATCTCATTGGTACCCTGCTCGTCACGGCATCGCCCCAGCGACTCCACCTTAAAGCTATTGACGTCTCTAGAATCTATCGCGCCACGAGCAAACGGCAATGAAACTTCCAAGCACGTTGCGTATGGGGAAGTCACCCGCCTCGCTCCCTGAGGGCTCCCTCACCGCCGTCTATTGGTTGTTTATTTCGTATGGAGAGGGCAAGCAAGGTGGAAGCTTCGTGCTGCTTCAGTACCTTTTTTTGGTAACCATTTCCCTGCCCATTGAAGCCTGATTAAAAGCAAATACCGAAGTTGTGATTGAATATTCCGGGATAAACCAGTTATGTGTGTTGATGAATGCGAATCTCAAGCAGCAGTGAAATTACTGCAATGGTTTGAACTGAAGAGGTATGGCTTCGACTTGTAGATTGTATTCGAACAATTATGCATTTGAGTTGCTTTGTGCTGTGGGGTTATTATCTTTCTGTGCTTTGATTTACAATATATATTCTTCGGTGAGATGTTTTTTTTGTTATTTCAGTTAATTCTGCATCCATCTCACATAGTTCTTTAGATTGTTCGACATATTTCACAGTATTTCACAGCCAATATATAGGTAATATAAATACGGAGCGACGATCGTTTGCAGACATATTTCACCAGCAGCTGTCGACGCCGCTGTAGCTACATAACAAGAGAACTCATGCGCAACAGCTTCCACGCTGTGACAAAACAATCTCATCAGCGACTTTTCTGTCGTCTAATAACTCTTTCCCCTTCAAATCCCCTACGGTTGAGTAATAATCGAGCACACTGTGCGCTAAATGCCCTGATTAATTCGAGCACTCGTCCCCTCGCGGGTTGATGAAGGCCTCGTAATGGAGACGACAGGCCCTCGCGGGCCCCAGCTGCGCGCAACGATCCCCGAAAACCGACTGACTGCTGAAAAACGGCGTCCGACGCCCTGCCTCTCCCTCCCTTGGCAGATGTGATCCAGTGTTTTGTGTCCTTGTGTTCACTGTTCAGTGATGTGTTACGTCAGTGTTTTGTGTCCGTGTGTTCACTGTTCAGTGATGTGTTACGTCAGTGTTTTTGTGTCCGTGTGTTCACTGTTCAGTGATGTGTTACGTCAGTGTTTTGCATCCGTGTGTTCAGTGATGTGTGACCAGTTCATTGTGTCGTGTGTTTCCCAATTTTGCAGATGTAACGTCAATGCGAAGGATCTGTGCTTGTATGTTTGTTGATGCTTGACGTCAGTGTATCATCTGCGTGTGCTACAACGTCAGTATACATATTGTGACTGTTCAGTGAACATACATTTCTGGTATTGGACGTCAATACAATGTGGCAGTGCGCTCGCTGGTATTTGACGTCAGTACTTACCCTCATGTTCGCTGGTATGTGACGCTACTGTATCTCTCTGCGTTCACAGACGTGCCGTCGAGCCCGGCGCGGCCGCTCATCACCAACTTCACGTCTCGCTCTGTGTTCCTCTCCTGGAGGCCTGGCAGCAAGCCCAACAACAGCCCCATCAAACACTACGTCCTACACGTCAAGTAAGGCATGACGCACGTCAGCTAACGCTGCACAGAGGGCCGGGATTAGCGTTTGGTATTCACTGTCTCCACCAGACAGCTGGGGTCGTATTGCCTTTTTCAGGAGAGCAATGTGTGCACTGTGCAGTAAGCACAATGTCTTGCTGACATGATTTCAATAATGCACATGGAAGTTTGCCTAAGTCCTAACTGATGGATTCTTAGCTTGCGGGTTGCAGCTAACAGTTCATTTGCAACTTCAAATTATATTTTGGAGAAGCCAGCAAAAATTATTCATAATCACAAGTACTCAAAACAGCATATTTTGAGTTTCACATGCTTTCCACTTTGCTTGGAATTGGAGTTATCCCTCCACGAGATGACAATCTTCGCAAAGGGCAACAATCCCTTTTCCATTAATGCAAGCATATTCAATTTCCCAGGTTGAACGGCTGATGTTTGCGTATTTTAGGTAGGTAATAGTTTGGTATCTTGTATTGACAGCGCCCAGCCAGCGCTGCTGATCCTCTCCCAAGATAGCAAAGTTTGCCCATGCGATCGGCCGCTGCCAGCATTGGGATGCCGCCGTTCCAGACACCCCTTCTGCACTGTGCTCTGTGCGGGCAAGGCCACTCTCCTGGTGTGCCGCCTGCACCCGCGAGTGACCGGCTGCGGCGGCGGGCTGCGGGTCTCCCGAGGCCACCGCCCGCATGGTCTTGTGTCCGCCGCAGCTGCCGGCGTGGGGAGAGGTCAGCCTCACCCTCGGAAGGCGCCTGGCTGGCCTCTCACCCCATGTCCTCCTCCCCCCCCCCCCCCGGAGCGGCTCGGTGATGACGGATTCGTCATTACTTATCAGCACGGGGTCCGTGCGTCCGTGTGCGAGAGGCATTAGTATGCGGCCGGCGATAGACGCTAATGCGACCCGGCTGGTCCGACTACCGCCGGCTTGGGGTAGGCTTGAGATAGGTCTCGGCCGAGCTGACAATGATAGATGTTAGAACACGGAACGCTGGGGTCAGCTGACCGCTATCTCGGTGGCTTTTTATCCGAGGAGCCGGGCCGCTCCAAATTTGGCCCGTTCGATCTGATCGTGACGTGTTCGACGTAATGTTAAACGGCTGATGTTGTTCGGGTCACGTTCCATTTATTTCGGTCGATTCGAGCCAGATAGGTCGGTCGTGTCACTACAGATTGCGTCTGCGCCAAGCAGTAGCATAAACTTCAAACGATTGTGACGACTTTCAAGACAGAGACACTGTCTGGGGGCCGGCACTTTCTGTTGAAATGGCCGCTCTCCCACTGAGCTCGGCTGGGCTCAATTCGGAAGCCGGGGCTCCCGACTGTTTCTACCACATTTACTCCTGGTTTCCGAGTATATCGACCGAGAGCACACAAAGGCTAACTGCAGTCGGGACCTATCTTTCAACTGGGGCTTACCCGGGACCATCTGCCATAATATCCAGACGGCGGCAGCGGCTCGCACTGCCTCATCTCGTATAACAGCAGCGCGCCACCAGTGCGACTATCAGAGCCTCATGGCTAAATATATACCGACAGTTTTTGGATGGTTTCGCTTGCAAGAAGGATCAGCGACGGCCTTGAAGTGGTAAGTAAAATCACTCAAATGTATTTGAGCTAGAATCAGCAGATAGCTATCGTATGACAAATGCGCTATCTAAAAACTTAGCCAAGTCTTCAACTTGCCAGCCACATTGGGTAAACGATCTCCAATTTATGGGCGCTTCCTCTCCGACTTTTTGAGACGACAGTGAGACAGATGTCTGTTTGGTCAAAGAGCAAAATCCTAGAAGAGGCCGGCCCATCGCGCTGTGTAAACGACCCGTCAGGCTGAGCCCACTGTCTACTCAGCCATTCCCCCCGCTCCGGCCGCCCCTGTCGCCTGTCCCTTAGCGCTGCGACCAAATCTGTCACTCTGACACCCCGCCGCACCGCCCGAGAAATGCATGGCCCTCGCGGTCAGAGGACCTTCCTGGAAGAGGCACCCCTCCTCCGTTCCTCTCCCCTACTCCGCGCCTCTACCGACACGGTCGTGCCGTCGCACACCCTCGGTGAAGTCGGCTGTCCGTCCAGCAGCGGCCGGCCGGTTCTCTCCAGGCCACGCGTTCGTCACTCTCGCCATTTACGATTTACGACTTACGGCGCGGACGACTCGTGCTGTCGACACCGACGTCCCCCCGTCGGCGTCGACGACCGGCGGGGCCGATCTTCTGTCGCGCGCCGACGTCGAAATCGACAGCACACAAACGTCGGAGAGGCAGCCGGCGGCCATTGGGTGGCTCCGATAAACAGCAACATCGGCCCGGCCGGCCTCTTCGGACGGCCGTTCGGGCCGGCACCGCCATCGGCCGATAACGCCTCCCGCCGGACACTGTCGCGCCGGACGAGCGTCGAGAACGACGGCCCGCCCGAACAACCGTCGAGTGCCGCCGGCGGGGCTGGGGGAGGGAGAGGCACCTCTGCCAGAGGTGGAGGGCGGCCGTATGGCGACAGCAATCTGGCGGGGATCGGCGGACGGCCGATCACAGGGCGCGCTCGGGCCGCCGGCGCCGCCAGATCCGATCTCCGCCGACCGAATGGGACGCCAACGACAGTCGGCACCGGGGCGCTAGATGGAAGACCATTCGCTCCAGATGTATGTGCCGATTCGCTGGAAGCGACTCGGGGTGCAGATCGGCGCCCGGTGACTTGCACGAGCGCGTCCTTTTGTTTGCCAGCCGCCGCCCGACGTGCAAGAGCGGCCACTTGAGATGCATCACAATGTGGTATAATGTGTTTGCCTCATGCAGGCTACGTAATCCAATTATCTGCCGGCGCTCAGCCCGCTGTGTCGTCCGCACGCTCCAGCCATCTCAAAGTCGTTCACATGAGTGTGCTATGTACCCGGGCCAATTTTATTAAGTGAGCTGCCGGAAAGTTCGTCAAGTGATAGCGCCAACTCGGTGAAGCATGAGAAAGCTTTTAAAAACTTTTGTGTCGCAGGTCGTTGCCGCTCTGCACAATCATATTCGCAAAGTTTTGTGTGCATCACTGCTATTGGTTTCCGCCAGAGAACCATATCTGACGCTGTGAAACTTTACAGCTGTATGCTTGTCTATTTATTTTCTGGGAACTTCCGCGCAAGCCAGCGCTGCTTCCGTTGGAAAATTCGCCAGAAATCCTACAAAACATCGTTCATTGCGAATGATATGACCCCTGCAGATGCGACTCGGGCGCAATTTCTCTGCGGCAGAAAAGATCCGATTAAATGAGTCAACTCCGCGAGATGTGCTGCCATATTTATTACACTGCGCCAGCGTCTTGCAGGGCGCGCAGTGCTAGATCTCCTAAATCCACCAATATCCCGCCAGATTCACCGGGATCCTCTGAGAGCCGCGAGTTGTGAAAGACAGCGACAGTGACGATTTTTTTACTTCTGAAACGTTTGCGCAAGAAGGTTTGACTTGCTTGCAAGTCCAGTCAATGCATCCCTGGGCAACAAACATGTCTTGTTCAATGTTCAAACCAAACCATACGCTCAAGAAACTGTCCTGGCCTGGGGATTTCTGAATCTGATACACAAATGGCCCAGGTCCAAGACAGCAGTATCTCCCATTCCCCAAATCGCTCCATTTGAGCTCGGAGGGTGGAGTCCGTCCGTTGATGAAATCATCCAGCACAGTTCAAAACAAGCACGTCCCGTCCGAATCTGTCTTGTGACTCAGTCCCTCCGGCAGGAGATGAACCGCCCGTCCGGCTGTGTTGTGGCCCTTCTCCCCAACTTGTGTCGCTGCTCTGTCGGTCGTAACCACCGCCGAGGAGGGCGAGCCGGTGGACAATTGACTCGGCCGCCGGCGCCGAGTTAGCCGGAGATCACAGAGGGGGGGCTGTCTAGATGGCCGAATGGTCCCCGCTATAATTAAGTTGCCCAACTGCCGGCGGGGTCCAATATTGGCTGCCCGGCTGAAAGCGCCAGACTATTTGCGCTCTGGTCTATTTGGGGTACGAACAATTACATTTGATGCTGAAATTTGCGTTCCAAGTTACCGCTAACACCGTGGCTAATTTTGTGACGACTCGCTCACGCTTGCCGAATTTGGAGCGCTCCCATAGCGTGTTTCATCGCCATTCCTTGCATTGCGGACATCTCGGCGCCAGCGCTGACTAGAGGTGTCAATTTCAGAAATCTCTTGTCCGATGTCCGTCCAATGTCCAAAATCCTAGCTCACTTTTGTCCGAAAAATGTCCAAAGCATGGATTTGTCCGAAAACTGTCCGAAAGCTGGATATGGAAAGAGAGTATGGGGGAATTGATCTATATTAGGTATATGTTTGCATGTAGGTACCACATGATAACTAAATAACAGATATTTGCCATCTGGTTTTGAGTGCAAAATATTGCAAACCAAAAATATTGAAGCAATATCATATGCAGTGCCTAGGGAATGGGGGTGGGCATTTGGGCAATAGGCCTAACCTGATATATAGCACAAACACAGCATATTGAGACAAGCCTATTCTGTTTCAAAATGTGCTACAGCCTACAACTGAAGCTGAGTAAGCAGGAATAATGCAAAACATTGCCTTATCCCCCCTCCAACTTGTGTTTTCAAATATTGACTTCTTGCCACATCCCTTTGACACTAAGCCACTTGATGATGAATTAATACAGCAATAATGCAAGAAGCTAGTCACTTACAATAATTGTGCATGTCTTCACCTTATATCACACTGGCTGAGATTGAGACTTGGATTGAGATGTAAAGTAGAACACTTCTTGCAAAAGCAAAATAGTTCATGTGAGAAGAAACGTGTGAGATAGGTACATCTGGAAGAAACGTGCTCTTCACTGAGCCACACATCTCTCAATATCCAAAAGAATAAGCGATCACAAAAATACTTGCTATGATTTAACACAAATTCACTGAAATTCACAAGCAAGAAGAGGTTGTGATCCTTGGTAGAATGAAAAACACATTTCAGGGCCCTGTTTCACCGGTGATAGCAGCACGCCGATTTTACGAC